GGAAAAAGTGGTCTTGATGCCGACGTTGTGTCATCTGAAACGTGTAATTATTGGTCCAAACGTTTTATTAGAAGTGGTGGGTGAAGAGAAACAGTACACCTCTGCAACACCAAGGAAAAGTTCTTCTGAAGCACGAGGGGATCAATTCGTAGTTCTCTTAGTGCCGACTTTGTGTCTTGCGAAACGTGTAATTATTGGTACAAGTATTTTATTAGAAGTGGTGATTTCGATCTTAGTCACCAACCGTGCCTCGGACAACAGCCTCGAGAGAGTACAGATGCGGAATTGCAAGCTCTAATGGACGGAGGCTCCAGATGGATCCCACGTGTGTTGACTGAACACAACCCAGGTCAACGTGCAAAAACATGCCCTTTCCTGCATGCCCAACAACATGGAAAACTTCTTGTGTAAAATTGTGACGCGTGATTAAAAGTATACTTTGCACGAGAATCTCAAAGACAAGAAGGTGCCGTGGGTAGATCCCGGGCAACCCAGTACATCGTCACCGAAATAGAACATTCACTTGAAGGAGGTTCTGCTGTGTATCTGGTGAAACATGAAGGGTGTACACTATTTCGAACTTAACACGGATCCAATTGTAGTAACTTGAATAGGTTTGTTGTAATTAATTCATTTCAAAACACACCTCCTTATGCCCAGCGATTTCATATCTCTTTATCTTGTAGTCCTCACAGATGTAGGAGTTAACGAGCCAAGTTTTTGCACCTCGTTATCAGATTGGATTTAAATTCCACCCAATTAAAAGAGATAGTAAATGGCTTAAGTAGCATGTGCTTGGAGTTTCAGCTTAAATTCACTGGCGTGAATGCAACATCTGCAGCCAAGGGAAAGACTTTGACTCCTATTCAAACTTGAATTACTTGACAATTACCCCTCCGCAGTGCCTCGTGTTCGGTTGAAGCCGTTTCCAAGGCACTTCTCGAACACTAGCCACGAGTGAGTGATGGAAACAGAGGCGCGAATGACGTGGAGACAAGTGACGATCAGACGACGACGACGACGACGGCAGGGGAAGACAACGGGACCAGTGCGGGCAAGAGTAATAAACCGGGCCCAGACGGGTAAATCACTTGTTACCAGTCACGAATCTGTTGCTAGGGTGCTGTCCCGTTTCAGTTATGCCCGTAGGATTATAATGGTGACTATTTATTGGACTCTCTTATCTCTTATCTCTATCTTGCACATATGGTGTAAATTCAGTTTATGCAAGGAGTCCATAAAGCCATTTCATAGCCAATCGAATTATTCGCATTGTAAGATAAAATCAAACGATATTCAACGTTACGGCCTCACAGCAGACGTAGACGGATATAACAGCTTAAAAAAAGGAATGATTATATCACTTATCTACATGCAGAAGTTTTGGATGAGATAAATCTTTTTGGTTGAAGGGTGACTATAGAACCCTTAATAAGGAAAAAAATCGGTAGTACTTTTCAAACGAACTTATTGGGCGATTGCTTGTGATTGATAGTTATTGCGACTAGTCGTTGTATGAGTTGTAACTGCTAATCCTCAAGCCCTGCTCCTCTCACGCGCTGGATGTCGTTTTAAGGCAATTTTCACGCTCAAATTACTCCGGTGTTTTATTACCCTGTGTCCGGTGTTCAAGAGGGCTAGCAACCGGCCACAGCGGACGTGATCCCGCGTTCTCACATGGTTCATTACTCAAGACGATCCCCCTCCAGTGAATTCACATGGGGGCGAGTTTTGAATGAGCAATAAGCAACCTGTTAACCGGGCATTAACCACTCTAGCATTCTGGGTGAAATCAATGAGAAATTATGGCGAAAAATTGGGGCCTTACCCATTCCTGTCAGCGACATTAGCCTCGGGTTATGTTGGCGCAGACTTGCATCTGTGGCGAGCAGCAAGCAAACACGGTTTGCATTCGTGAGCGAACGCAGCGTGCAAGCGTGGGCGAACACAATTCAATCGATTTTTTCGTGAATGCACTTCATGCAGCTACGTGCGTTCAGAGATCGATACTTAGCGGAGCTACGTAAGCGCGCTCGTTATTCTGTACATTGTATCAATAAATAAGTTGAGCTAGGCCGTGTCGACGTAGATTGCCGGCCCGCTACACATCTTATCAGCCATGCTTACGCCTGAAAGTAGGTGCCTGTGTAATAGCGAAGCATCTCACCTGTCACACACAAAAATCCCAGCCATAAGCAGACATGACGCCTGCGGTGGACCACACTACGTGAAATTTTGTGCTGACCGCGATCATCCGACTTTACCGTCTACTCAACACCCACAATAGTACTAAACTAGATACCTGGATTTGGGTGAATTATGCGAGTATAATTATTAGGTGGATTGGTTATCCGATTGTGCCATTACCCAATCAGGTTGGGAGGTTTTTAACTGAAACCACGTAAGACCATTTCGGTGTTAGATTAATTAATTTTGGGATAGCAACTCTACACCATTTAAACAGGAGTATCAACCGCCATGGCGACATTCATTATGTTGGCTCAGCATTCATACTCGGCTACTCCGTTCATTAATTATTAACAGGTGTTGGCCAGAGAAACTGGGTTTAAAATTCTCACGAATCAATGATTGGGCGAGATAAATTAGCAGTCAGCAATCCCTCAAGGCAAACCCCAATTGTCACGGAATCCCAGGGCAACGGGACACAATTGCTATTAGCCCAGAATGCAACTTGAGGTCTAACCGCAACCCGAGATCACGCCTTGCAGCTCAAGGGCTGAATAGAACATCCCTCATTTGGACATTTAAATCAAATAATCCATTTACCGAACCAAGCCATTTGTGCCCACTAACTGAGCAAAGGAACCTGACGTGGTAGTCAATGAATTTCTGTTGGATTTTGGTGGAATCAGTCAACCAACGGCCTTCCCCTACAATCCGTTCAATGAGAGAACCGATGAGCAAGTTCTCCCTAGAGATGGAAATGTTTTGACAGATAACCGCCTCTCATCAGAATTAAACGACCTTGAAAAGGCCATCGTCTTCACTTTGTGGTCACTGAAGACTCTTACTCATCTGGAATTGGGCCGGTCGCTCTGGACTACCCCAAACGCAACATCGAAAGGACTTGGTGAATGCGTCAGTTGAAGAATCTCTGATAAATGAATGTCGTTACTATTGGCATAAAAGTAAAGCCAGATTCGACTAAACCAGCAAGAGTTTGGAAGACCTCTCCATAAAAAAGCCCAAAGCATGTTCTTAATGCACTTCTACTAGTTTGTCACTGTGTGATAAAATGTCTACTTCTGATTGGCCGCCAAGAAGCATAAACAAACGCTAGTCACGTGAAGACAATGCAGGTATCGAGTAAACTGCTCCAAACTAGCTCCTAGAGTTGGATCTATCAGTAAATTAACGTCAAAGAGGACTTCGAGAATAACCACCTTCAACATTGTCGGAATATTCTGCATAGATAAGCGTTACAATGAATCAGAGGGGCTTAAACTTACGGCTCTTCCTTCGTCAGAGACCCGCCCCTCCATCTCATCCCACATTGGCAAGCTTTAATTGCAATGAAAACTTTTTCATGTATTATAATCCCACTTGTCAGAATCAACAGATCAAGAATCGTTCGGCAGTTGTTTCCAAGAGTGAAAAACTATCAAGCTAATTTCATAATTAAAGCCACATGAATGAGGTGGGCATAGAATAACCCACGGCAAAATAAAGACTTGTTTTGAGGAATTATTTGCATTTTGAAGTTTGTGCAATTTGAAAAGATCCTTTTTGTAAGAAGGATATATATCACCATTCCGGTAGCTAATGAATGGCTGTTAGGTCGTGTAAAACCGCCCGTTTAGAAAACCGCCACAGTAGCAACACGAATAGAGTGCAAGACTTCCACGAGGCGATAAATCAAGCCAGTAAAGCTGGCGTGCGTTGGTTTTATTTTGACCAATGTGTGGCTTCCGCGGCGTGTGGATTTATCGATTTTGTGAACGCTGATCACTCAGCCCTACTCAACACGAACCAGTGAGTTGCAGGCTCTACCTAACCAGGCCGTGGTACGTGCCCAGAATCACAAATTCGGCGCATTGTGGCCTACCGGTTGGTTCACCGCCCCCTCACTATTGAATCGCTAATAAAACTTTATGTGTACCTAAGTGGATCGCCCTTCCGCCCCGGTCACCGTCGACATGCCACGCCAGAGCCGCTTATCTGATACATCAACACGGCCGCCCCCCCACCCCCCTCACTCTGCACTTCACGGGTGGTGTGTTGTGCGTGCGTGCGTGCTTGTGCACGCAATAGGTGTTTGCGGAGCTGATTGCTGAGACCGGATCGATCCATGAGGTTATTTACCCCCACCGGTTCAACAGTTGGCTGTTTGTGCTTTCTGGGTGTTCGTGCACTTCGGAAGACTTTAATCCAGTTAAAAACGGGGTTATAGAGGCGAAATTTCACTGCCCGCAGTTTGAGGGGGGTCTTGACAGTCACAACAGCTAGACACCAGCTATGAGACCGTGTGGTTTCTCGCCTCTCACGTACAAATCCTTCATAGAACGATCTGAGGAACCTCGACAGGGTCACGGCAGTTGGCACCGTCTGATAAGCTGATCCCGTGGGGGCTGTTGTGGCACAGACGATCTTAAAAGTGTGTTCCTTCCAAAGGGGAATGCGACAAATCCTTGCAACTCTGGCGCTCCCTTCTAGATAAACTTTAAATTTGAAATCAGAGTATTTTGCGCTAATTCCATGCAACTAACCACTAGAAAGACCATTACTACGCCGGTGTAAGAAGCCGGGTTGAGGCACAACACGTGCCAAACACGATGAGTTTTACGACGTGTGTGAAAACGACTGAATAACTCCCTACGAGAGGTCAAAAAAGGCGTCCTTGGCTTCGACGCTGGTCCATTTTCGCCTGATAGCCAAACAAGTGATCAAATGGAAGCCAATTCCACCGACATGTGAGCACTAAAGACAGTAAATTTAAGCTCTTTAGTCCGTTAAGAGGTTAGACAGAATGGCATTTAGGTATGGAAGAGTTGTGTTCGAGGATTTATTATGGCTACGGTGCGTGCACAATTTATAACGTCATCGACTGCCACAGGTGGGCTGAGCGCTTACAATGACATCTTATATAACGGTTGAGGTCACGTGTGGTTTATGATCGCTGGCTCGTGCCACCACCAACACCACCTCCGGCGACAGATGCTATGCGTTTCCGCGGTCGGTCGATGATCCATCAGTCGTGGCTCGAAAGGCTTCGACGAAGAGGGCGTCGGCGTAACTCGACCTCGGAAGACTGCTTCCGCACTCGCTCCCGTTCGGATAAACGAGGTTGTCCAATGAATACGCAGGAAGGAGATTTTTATTTCAGAATATTCCTGAAGGCAAAGGATGGTGTATCGCCGTTTCCACACCAGCCCCTGAACTGTTCTCCACCAATCTCGCAGATGGTTAACTGCGCACTCGTTTGTCCTCCTCTAAGACGAGAACACCAGGCCGCAATAGATTATCCGAGCTGAACGCCGACTTGAACACTCAGTACCCCCTTTATTTACATCAATTTTGCCTTATTTTACCATTGTAATGGGGTGACTTCAACACATCTGAAATTAAGTTCTAGTGAATGTCGACAATATGTTGGACTAGATATCGTGTGAAATCATTCGATTATTCAAAAGAGGGGGAATCGCCCCAGAACTCAGTTCGAATTTTGTCTCAGTCGACTATTATTTCCAAGTTAAACTAGATTAGCGACCAATCAGTTAACTGGTAGAACTGTCCAATCATCGAGCCATCTCACCGGTGGCTTAGTGCTAATAAAAACCAGAGAATCGAAGTCTGTCGTAGGCGCTAAAGAGCATCGGTAAAAAAGAAAATACTATTTAAAAATGGCCCTAAATTGGCATGAATGATGATGATGTTTTTCCAGTCTTGTTTGGCTTAAAGCGGGCTCTTTCGTCCTCGTGTTGTATAGTGTCAGTGGCGAGGAGGGTGGGGGGTGGGGGGCTGCATGCAACCTGTTTAACCATTCAGAGAGGTGGTGGGGGGGGGTAGGGGGTGATTCAGATACACGACCGCGACATCTGTGTAACCTCCATTCATCCGGTATTATGCAGGTAGCGGGTGTTGAGAGGGGACTGCCACCGGCCCTCACCCACCGCACCCCTGAACGCGCGTGTTAGCGACCAGTTGACTAAGTGGACTCAACACATCGACAACTCTCACTCCCCAGCCCACGTGTTTTGACACTCTCTAGGCTGGGTGTTGTTGTCACCGCCCGTTTATGAGGGCCGTTTGTTGTGTTCCAGTCAAGTCAGCTGTTCTGCGCTCAAATAAGGGCAAGAAATTTCGAGAACCGGGTAGTTTAGATCATTCGGGTCAGTTTTAGCACTGTGTGGTACACCCTCAACAAGGAATGGACTCTGGAAGCCTCAGGACCATTAACCTAAACAGACGTGGGATCGTGAAACCAGCACCAATTGCCCAAACTTTTAAGCAAATTTAAATCCAAGTTAGATGAAGATCGGAAGCAGACATCTTCTTTTTAGCATTCATTCGCCATGCAAATACGATGATCGCTGAAACCAATTTACAATAACGTCGACAGATCCGAATGGATTAAGCAGGAATTATAGGACATCTCTTCGTTTAGAGACTGGCTAGACGTTGTGTAGAATAATCGATAGAATAATCGAGTTACTATCAGAGGCCTACACAAAAAGCTTAACATATTTGACATTAGCATTCCCCACAGTAAGCAATGCACTCAATCGGTAGTTTTACACCGAAAGCAAACTCGGCTTGAACTGACTAAATCAACGAGGTTGCCGAGGGACTGGAAATATGTTAAATTATCTGTTTGTCTGAGCCAGAATCACTCGTTTCGCCACCTTAATCTGTGACTTCGTACTCACGAGGACGGCTTTAACAACCTTGTCATTGGGGATCTGTAGAAGGCATGTCGTTCGACGATGCCACCTAGTTATTAGCTGCTTCAGTTACATGGTTTTTGAGCGCGTGCGATGCTGGAAGGCACACGTACACAACGCAGACGGCCTTGGATGTCAGTAGGGCCGACCACCGACTGCATCACGGTCCGCTGGAAGTTGCCGTGGCAGAGACCATCCCACTTTTGCGTGTGGCCTCTAATTGAAATTGCCTTTTTGAGGGGATGGCATGTCATAAACAATGCCTGTGTTTCTCAGCAGACAACGGTCCGAGGCTTTTACTGACTCCCGGGAGAAAATTTTGATAAATTTGTCTCCTGAATACCTTAAACTGGCTGATGGCGCATGTGTGTATGTTGAATTGAATGTTTTGACTTGTCCTCGATCACAGTGACGCAGGCTGACAGCTACTTCACGAATCATCCAGCAAATTGCCACAGCATTGGTTTTAAACCACATCGTGACTCTATCGATGGATCATTCTATGTACTAACGAGGTTAACTCGCACTTGTTGTTTGACGTTTGACCGTTGGATGCACGTGATGTGGGACACGGAAGGGCTAATTCGGACTATCTGGAAATGATTCGTTCAGGCATTTGTTGAACATTTTTTAATGTCGTAATCTGACACAATCGAGTCCTTAAATGATTCTCTTTAAGCCGCTTTGAGTAAGTTACTATCTAAATATTGAGAAAAAGGTATCACATTCTGACAGGTTGTAATCTTAACTGCATTTATAACTGACAACTAATCGTAGTGGTCTTTATACAGACAAGGATTGTCTCTGCTTCAAGTCCTTGGAAAATCAGCATATCTCCTTTTCCACAATGGGGTGAGTTGAACCTTCCAATGTAGAAGGGTGCGATGCGTTTTGTGCAGTAGAACACCTTCAATACCACTACACAAACTCAATCTTCTTTGAGCATTTATCAGCCACCTATCGATTAAGATAATACACGGACCCAAAGAAACACATTTCCTGATTGATTTGACGGCATTGGTTAAAATATAATCAAATCTATTTTCATTGGTTACTCACTGTTACCTAACTTTCGACGATAGATACGGTTCACACAACATGTAAGCTGGAATTTGGTTTTCTGACATTAGCTACATTCGACTCCCAAAATCGCCTTGACAACGGAAAAATGACGCTTGATAAAACGTCACTGGCTTTAATCAACCCATCGATAATACTTCTCGCGTACTTCCTAATTTGTTGCCTCAACAAACAATGAGTAGCCAGCCAACTTCAGAGCCCTAGCTCAGCCAATCGCACGACTTCGCACGCTTGCGCGCCTCCACCAATCACACGCGGACACCGGGCATGACCCAATCAAGATAACGTGCGCCCGTGAAGATTAAGCGCCGTCCACCTGGTGCGCCATTTTCCACGCGCACGGAATGATGAACTCAACTGCTGGTGGCTATCCCTACACCCTTAATGCGGATCAGCACGGTTTTGAGCACAACGCGATGCTAGCACACCAGACAAGCCTGTACGCCTTCCACCAGCCCCACAGCCACCACCAGACCTTCAGTTCATCCAATTCCTCGGCCACAACGAATGGTAAGTTTTTGCACTTGTACATACACTCAGCAGCCTTATTTTGACCCGTAAAACAGGCTTCAATGTAGTAGTATATCGCTTGCGATTTCAGTAGCCAGTAAATCGACCCAACCATCGCCCCCGTTAACTTAATCTCGCTTTTTGGTTAAAATTTCATTAAACACATTCTCAAACCTAAACAGATCGATTCGTGAGGGGAGACAAACGGAGCCGTTGGCATGAGACACGTACTTGCAGGGTTCTCTGTCCTGCCATGACGAAAGTTTCACGACCACCTGTATTAGTCATTTCTGTCGATGAGATGTGTTTTTCCAAATCACCTCTCATTCAATAGAGGAGGAAGCGAAGTGGTCCATTTGATTTGAACAACGCCATTAAATGACGCATCTGAATGAATAAACGAGATGATACTGCTTGTACCGATAAACGCAAAAAATACCCATCCGGATTCGTTAATTAATGATGGGTGACTTGCGACAGCTTCCAAGAGCCGAAACTAGGCTCTGAGTAATCGATCACATGGCACTTTGTACTGATTGACCGCCACACATAAATTGCCACTGCGACTTCTTCTCTAGAAGAGACCATTTTCTCCTGTGATTAAAGCTTGAAGGTGTGTTGGAACCCATTATGCACGGTCCTGTGTGTCCATCACCCGCCAAGCTCATTTAGCTACAACCGAGTTAAATCCACTAACTGAAAAATTGATTTCACCCTAACCCGACAAGGGGTGTTCCTTCACCAACAGAGGAATAGGTGGATTTCGAGTCGCGAGCAAGAGGAGACCTGGCCTTTACTAAAACGCGTCGTGTCTGTCAATACGCCCTTCTTCGACCCAGATTTGGTCTAATTCGCACACCAAGACCACGACAAGGACGTTTGAGATGGGCAGGGATGAAGCGAGGTGGGGAGTGGGGGAGGGGAGGGGGCTGGAGGAATACGAGATTGCCCATCTGGGGTTCCAGTTTCGCACACAGGTGGCGTGAGTACGACTCAGACGCTCGGAGGGGATGGGAGGGAGGGGGAGGGAGGGAGTAAAACGACGGCGTTCAGCTCTGAATTCGTACGCTCTGGATTGATTTAAGCCTTTGATAAAGACATCGCTTCCACCCCTTCTCCTCTTCCTCCTCCTCCTCATCCCAATCGCCTAGGATTTAATCAATGCGACCATCAGGCCAGTGTTCTGCAGTGCGCTTCGGTGAGAAGCCAAAAAACGGCACCAGGGCGTGAGAAAGGGAGGTAGGAGCAGTCAGTCAGTCAGTCGCACTCCGGTGTCATTCAGAGTGAATGCAACTACTTTTTTTTCGGAAATTTATTAGCAAGTGAAGTCTTAACTGCTCTGTCCCCTCGAAGCGAAGGTCTACGTCTGGAGTTCTGGTTCTCTGAGTTAGAATTCGGCGCTGAGAAATGGCGCAAGGTGGCTAACCGAGTTTTAAGTCACTCCTGCAGGCGTAAAGGCCAATCACGAAGGAGGGTTCAGGTTGTCCTTCGAAGCCTCTCCACAGAGCACACAAAACCACGCTAATCGGGTAGATGATTCTTCTGGACGTGTCACATATCATTCCTCCCAGATGTTCGCTAATTGAGAATGCTGCTGCATTAAGAACCAATCTACATATTCCACTGTCAGTGGACTTCATTGGCGGAATGAGTGTCGTGTTTTGTAACGATCTGTTTGTCTGTAGGACCCTTAAAAGCGAACATCGATAAGCCTTTGAGAGCAAGATGACAATGTCGAAATTGCATGCGATCTCAGTTGATAATGGAGTTGAAAGCAGCCCGTGTATAACCGAATCCACGATACACACTCCTTCGTTTCGATTCACCATCCATCCCTCCATCGTGGAACAGCTAAGGAGACTGTGAGTCACACGGGAGTTAAAGTGTAGGCTCGGTGCAGCACAAGATGTGAATTTCAGCACTTCGACCGCCGTGTATTTGTGGTGTCAGCGGACGTGTTCGTGAGGTTCATAATTGGTCCCCATCATGTCCCAGGCTGATTCATGCATACGCACACCAAATTTCGACTACAGAGGCTGAAGGGAATGCAATAGTCGTCTGTGCTTTCGCAACCTACTTTGTGCTGATGGCGTATTCCAAAGTCACGTTTGACGACGTGGCGGTGGTGGTGAGGGGCCGTGGTGGGAGGTTATGGTCCCAGGTGTGGGTCGCCCCACCACCGCCTCAAAAACCCACGTGTGGCTTGGAGGGTGTTGGGGCACTGCAAATCGAATTGTCCTCGCATTACTCACGCCGTCCAGGTGTGCTAAATGGGACAAAATCCACTCGATTCCCCACCCCCACCCCCCGCAGCCGCAATCCCCGACACAATTGGACGCTCAGACCGTCAAGGGGTGAACTCGAGAAGTGACATGGCAGATTTCCCGTTCAGAGTCGTCCAACCCTACTCACTTGAGTGGACATTGGCGTGCGCGGAAAATGCATTAATCAGTGGGGATGATTTCCCCCGGGGCGCTGTAAAATACTGTAGTCCAGATTTTTGACCCGCTAGCACCAGTTGACCCCAACCAGAATTTCCGATCGACTGCTCGACAGTTGCAGATGCTTAAAATGCCAATTAAAAGAGGTAGATTTGAGGATCGTGCCTACGAAGTCCGGTAAAATAGCTTTTTGAAAACCAACTGATGTCATTTTGGTCCTAGTGCTGGCAGTTCTACTCCATCGACGACAACCACAATGTGCAAGGTTGGGTTAAATTCTTGCAAATTCTGGCCAAAGGATTAGTCCAAATGGTTCGACTGAAATTTTTATGTGCGGTGTCAAATCAAGGAGCCACCGAACGAAGCTAATTAAGACAGTTCCAGGAAATGCCAAGATGTTGATTACATTGCCTGGTGAGAAAGACTGACTAGACATCAGTCTTAAGAGCCGAGGACTACTTCCTAGTTGATTTCTCTAATTGACACACACTGTCACTCTTGTGTGTAGTCCCGCGCGAACGTAACAGTCGTTCCTTGATGAATTGGATGATTAAACGGAATAGCCACGCTTAAGCAGCACAGAATAAAACTGCCAGCAGCGTGTAGTTTCATCTAGAGACTCTTCGTGCTAAACAAACCTTCTAGACCATTTCAATGAAGTGCTACTGCCTCTGTTACGCCATACGACCAAGTTTATTGCTGCTAAGACATCAAACACGTGTGTGTGTGTTCTTTTGGGGGTGGAGAGGGAGCAGAAGAGGGAAGATGTGAGAGGGGCATTTTCAAGTTGATCGTACGGCCTCGACAGGCGTGAATGCAGAGGGGATGGTGGCGGGTGGGGGGGGGGGGCAAGGCGAGTGCGGACGCACACACGCCTCATCGGCCATCTGTCGGATGAGTAGTTTAACTGTAGCCAGCTGTTCGGGCTCAACCCTCCCCTCAGCGCAGAGCAAGCAATGCCCATGCTCAACCCGCTCCCCTTCCTCTGTGAGATCTACCACCCACCCCCCCTCCGCCATCCCCACAATCGCGGATTCGGTAAACACCACTGCCTCAAAATCCATCGCGTAAAACAAAGAGGGACACAGGACAACTCCACCAGTCACAAATGCGCCCTGCGTCGACAATAGCTTCATTATCAGAGTGGGCTGAGCTTCTTCTCAAGCCTCTATCGTATGCCTCTAAGAGCAAGTGCGTTAATTCATCATTAGTTGGAAATTCTATGAGGGGAGTGTGCTTGAAGTAACTCTTTGTCACCGATGATGGAGCAGAACAATCACGCGACACCGTAACGTCGACCTTTAAATCAGGAACATTACCGACTCGTGAGGCCAAATCGATGGACGTCCACACACAGGAATAAAATCAGTGTTCCTTAGAAACCCCACCAGATCTGAGTAGGAAAGAATCAGATCATTTTGAACACAGAAACCTTATGGGTGGAATAATGGCCTTTCCGATGCAACTACCTATTCTTCAACACGGTATAAGATAACTACTAAATTTAGACATCTACCAGGAAGAAGTAACATTGTTGCAAACTGATTGTAGATTTTGGAGAACAGTCAGATGGGAAGGCGTTGACACACCTGAGCTTTTCGCCTCAAGTGCACCGGAAGAAACGCGGTCCCAAGAAGAAGCCGCTCACGAAGGAACGCGAGGACCGCATGCGGAACCGTCGGGCGCGCGCGAACGACCGCGAGCGCAACCGCATGCACGGCCTCAACAGGGCCTTGGAGGCGCTGCGCGAGCGAGTTCCGGTGTTCTCGGCGAACCAGCGTCTGAGCAAAATCGAGACCCTCCGGCTGGCCAAAAACTACATCCGTGCCCTCACCGACATACTGGAGAGCAGCGAGGCTGGCGAGCAGCCCGACTCCCTGAAGATGGCCCTCACTCTGACCGACGGCCTCTCGCAGAACACCACGAACCTCGTCGCCGGATCGCTGAAGGTCAGTCCGAGGATACTGCTCCAGATGCAGAAACGAAACAGCTCAATCATGCACGCTCTGCCCTCCACATCTCACGACCATCCTGATGACAATCAGCATCACCATCACCACCACGAGCCACATCAGCACCAGCAACAGGAAACACAGCAAACCGGTGATTACTACTGCCCACCTGGAATGTCCTACGGGTTCCCCCAAGTCCAACAGACGGTCTACTCACTGACCGACTGTCGATTCCTAACGGAGTATCACTCCTCGGCAGAACAACCATATCGTGAATGATTTTTTTGATTATATTTACTTATTTCAGATGCCAGAGATAAAAACCAACATTAATATGTGATCGCAATTGCGCAAAACTTTTCTTTCCCCACGGTGGTGGCACTGTCGAAGATTTGTCAAAAGTGGAGCCAACAGGAGGGTAGAAAATTACATTGGTTTATTCAACAGGGCTTGTGAAGCTCTAAACCACCGGCTGCCTTGCCATTGGTCAGAGTTGGATTGACCAATGAAAACCACAAACAACCACGGTCTGGTGCTTCAATATGGGCCGATTTTCATTGGAGGAAAATAAAATTAACAAAACTGTCGCTTGGAATGGTCACATTGGCAGGCTGGTCATCCTCCAGTGTCCAGTCTATATGCGGGGCACTTTTAATAAGGCAATATTTTATTTTAACACAAATAGGGTGTGCACTTTTAGGAAATGTTCTGACATCAACAGGGCGAACAGACTGGTCGAGAGGTGCATTAGTCGCCTTGACGTTGATCTGATCCTTTTAATTTTCCAAGTGACTATCGACTGAAAATGTGGGAGAGGCGGATCAGTGGTGGGGTGTCTTATCGGAAGTTGGGAGCATTATCCAGTAGGAAAAGGCCGCTTAACATATCCACGGGGGTGTAAATTATTAATTTTTGCTTCCCAATTGATGTCCAAAGAATTACACGGACTGTAAAGTTGGTACCCTCACATGATCGCTCTGTTCGTAACTGCAGCTGGCATTATTCAAAGCGGTTACGCATGAAAATACAAAATGGGATTTTGCATTGTCGGTAAACACGATTTAATCGAAGATAACATGCCCTACGATCGTAAATATTTGAGAAGGGGACACTCTAAGTGCTGTTTGCTGGTTTCAGCCAGCCTATACCCCCAAAGAACTTCTGACAAGTTGTCTAGAAAAATTAAAACTTATTGATTTCAGGCAAGAAGACGCACTTCACTTAAACAAGGCAAATCCGAGCGAATCTCATGAGAATGATCTGCACGCGTCGCTGAAAAGTGGTGACAGCATTAACAGGACTCAAGAAGAAAGTTCGATGGTTGGATAACAGCAGGCTTCGTAGCATTAACGTCTACCCTAATCCTCCAGTAGTAAACTGAGAGACTGATGCTTTCCACGTTTCTCTTGCTCACAGGAACGTCCTTGCGTGCTACGAAAAAACTGCTTTATCTTCAGTTTAGACGTTGAAAACCGTTTTTCGATTTCCACGAAAGAGGTAGATGACTTCCTGAGGCCTTGGTAAAGCCGCCGTTTTATCTAAATATACGTGTTATTGAAACCTCTTTGGGGTAATCACCTCCGGTATTAAATGTATTGGATGCAATCAAAGTCCAGGGTCAACCAATTGAAAACAAGTGAGACCTGTACAGGAGGAGTTATTTTAGGATAGGATGTCGTAGTCTAGGAAACTTATGTGTATTATCTGTTCCTTCAATAAGGCGTTCTAAAGGCAAAGCAGCAGATCCAACAAGAGGAAAGGCGAAGCAGATAAAGTAGGCAGCAATCATGCAGCATTCTTCGGACACAGAGAGTCTTGGAATTTTTAGGGTTGTTTGCAACAGAAAGAATAATGATACGTTTGTGAAGAGGTTAAAGGAGGACGAATACAAGTAAAATTGTGCTAAAACCGTATGATAGGCTTCAAATTCCATGTGGTTTCAATACAAGGTGGCTCAGACACTAAGAAAGCTGAAAAGGACTCAATCTATGAACTCGACTAATGAGTCTGTGTGATCATTTGTTTTATTTGTAACTCTGGAACAATGGGAAGCATCAACAGCCCATTGACTTAAATTGAGGAGGCCAGATAACTGTGGTTAATAAATTATACATTAGTGTCTGGGAATTAATAGTGTACAGGTAACATGTATAGCTGGAATTGACACATTTGAAATAAATCAAGTTGCTGTGATAGCAAGTAGTATTTCTATAAATCCGTGAGATATAAAATGAAAACTAAAGCACATTTCTTAATGTATTAAGGATGCATGTAGGTATAATTGATTCTAATAAGTAATACCACCGAAGTAAAATTAAAACATTGCAAGCAATAGTGTGAATGAGGATAGCTTAGAGTAAAGAACATGACAAAATCGACGACGAGGAACATTGTAGATCCAAAGACTCTGATTTAATCTTACTTCTAGTAAAACTCAATTTATAAACAATTTCTAAATTTGGGGACTGAATAAATTGAAGAATTAACTTTGCCAACTAAATTCACCGATATGATGATTGATGAATTGCCAAATACTTTATGTTTCCTGAAGCCCTCAAATCAAACCTAAATTTTCAAGGTTAAATCTAAATTAATCTGTTATTTTTCCACAGAAATCACACTATGCGTAACTCAGCATTTAGGTGTTCTACATAATCTAAGATTCAGAGAGTTAGCAAACAGGTGATTAAACAAAGCAGTAAAAAGTATTATTTAATCACATAAATAATATGATAGAATATAAGTTGCCTTTACTGGCATTTTAAAAAAGCAAAAACATCAGACTAAATGCTAATTTTTTCCAACCTACAGATGTTTAAGTGTATCATATTGTTTATTTATTAAAAAATAGAGCAGTGAATATTTTGAATGCGTGTTTTGTTAGCTTTTTTCAGACTTTTAAGACCTTAAATATAGCTTTTTTTAAAACAAGTTACTTCCCTACTATATATTGCGTTTTAAAAAAATTTTTGTTTTATATAAACCTATTGTAATGTCATTTCTTGACCACTTATATGGGTTAGATAATATCTTTGTCTTAAGTATGTTTTTTTGTAAATCAGAAACTTTATCTATGGAATCAGGCATTAACATGCTTGATTTGCCAGGCTTTGCACCTGATGTTACTATGTTAGCATATGCGAACCTTTGTCTCTGTACTGGCAAGTAAGCAGTCTTAGAATAAACAGGTAATTTTATTTATTGTAAATTGCAGGACGTTAAGTTGAAGTTTATTGTTGTCCCATTCCAAACAAAAGTTTTAATCATAATATTTTTAAACTCGTGGATGTGTAAATGAACCGTGCAAAAATACGGACTCCAACTCCAACTGTTTTCGTTATCGCTACCCGGATCTGGCTGAGTATTCGAGGTCCGATATCCAACTTTTGTGGTGGCAAACTTCAAACGTCCAAATCACCAATTCTCTAAAAGTAACTTATTCGGTTAAAAAGTGAATCCACGAAGAAACGCAATGAGTTGTGGGATAAAACCAGGTTTACGAATCAACATGTAGTTTGGATCATTCGCAATGGAGTGAGCCTTCAGATCCACATTACTATAACCATTCGGAATCATCTGCATCAAGCATTACACTAAAAAATGAACATACAGTGGTCAGGTGATGACAGGCTTGGCAACCACCTAGGAAGACATTTTCATTTGATTTCTTGCCTCCTGTTGTGATGCCATAACTATTTCCACTAAAACACTCGCAATTCTGGTTGCGGAGGTTACTAGCCTTATCTTTTTCAACTACTCGGCTTTGTGCTGAATTACATCAAAGTTATGGCGGCTTTTTTAATTTGTGCCTTTTAGATTCCAAGTCCAACTGCTTTGTGTCTCCTCTCAGTGTGTACTCATCGTTGTCACTAGCCCTGTGCGGAAGTGCTAACAAGTCTCGTTCCGAGCTACTTTCAGCCCTCCATGTGAAAAATGCCGCGGACTTTGACGCAACTGTCGCGTCTTTGGGCAGTGCCCTGCTAAGCGTGCCAGACGGCGACCCAGGACGGACCCTCGTGCTTGCCAACGGTCTCTTCGTGGACAAAGCGTTCAGCATGAAGAAGTGTTTCACAGAGGCCCTTGAGCACAACTTCAAGGTCAAGGCACAAGAGGTCAACTTCGTGTCAGCCTCTGAAGCTGCCAGACACGCCATCAATAAGTGGGTAGCAGATAATACATGTCAGAAGATAGCCGAACTGATGCCACCCGATTCTATTGACAGCCAAACGCGTCTCGTGTTGGCAAACGCCATCTACTTCAAAGGTGCATTTTTGTGTGCAACTTTTGCCTGTTAAATGCAGACACCCAGACAGGTAGTTTAGTTGAGGGCTTTTACAAAGAGGTTGTGTTTTCAGATAACTGATCTCATGTGTCAGTGTAGGAATTGCCATTAATGTTAACGTAAACACTAGTTGCATGAACATTTATTCCAATGCATCTAGCTAGTAGTTGTTTGAGGCAGGTAATACAATAAACTCTGCCTATTCTGGAAGGCAGTGCAGAGTTGGGCTGAGAGCCGCAATTGCACCCTTCGCAAATGTAGTAGTATTTCAAAATTTGAGAACACTGTTTTAGCACCGTTTCCTCCAATATTTATGAATGTTATTCTGATGTTTAAATAATTGTGGCAAACGATAATCAAAAACCCCGTTTCCTTTTAATAATTTGGTTTGAAATGGACGTGTTTACAGGTGTTGATAGTTAGAGCTACTTGTTTTGTTAGTCTTACGGTGATTTTCAATGTTTGCAGTCATTTACACCTCCAAGTATCCTGTATTTTGAATTGTTTTAAAAGTCTTGTATTTAAGATGAAAAAAATGTATTCCTCTTGCGCAAATAAGTAATTTAAACCAATTTTTTATTGGTTAGGCACATGGAAGACCGTTTTTCATCGGGATATGACCTGTGGTTGGCCATTTTACACGCTTAACGGCGAAGAAATCAATGTTCCGATGATGGGAGACACTGCAGCGTACCCGTTTGCAGAATTCCCGGAACTTAAGGCATCCGGCTTGAAAATCCCTTTCAAAGCGTAAGTTCTCCCGATAACCAAACTTTTTCTTCGATTTCATTGATTGAGCAGTGAGTTCTACCAATCCAATTCGGTATTGCACATTTTAGATCAGCATTACAAAAAACCGCATTTCGGTTAAGATTTGAAGAAATTCGCACCAGCTCTGTGCGTAGGCTTACTGTTTGACAAGCAGGTTACCGTGTGTCACTTGGTTAGTGATGTTCCATTGATGTGACATTTAATGGGGCTTTTAGTTGTATCTGCTTGCCCTGCTAATCAATGCGATGAAACACTGGCAGTAGTTGTGTTCCCGTAACTTCAAGACATGAACGCCATTCTGATCAATAAACGGTTTGGGCTGACATTCACGCGCGTGTGCGTGTTCTTACCAGCGGTACACGGCTGTTAAAACGCATCGCGTGTACCTAATTATGGTATTGGTAGAAGGATTTCAAGAGACCGGGTTCCTCAAGCTTCACTTCGTCGAAGGTACAACCTAAGCTCTAGCCACATCGAAAATTCCTTGGTCCATTAAGAAGGAAACCGATTCATCAATTACGGCTCACAAGCATCGAAGTAGTTGGGGCGCTGACTTATTTCGTTTTGGAACCTCGAATCGAAATCGCATGTGGAGCAACACAAGGCACCATTGTGGGTAAAGAAAGCTACGTTAGCACAACGAAAACAACATTAGGTAAATGGCAATGTTGGCAGGATGAACGCTAATCT